CTAGCTGCAAAAATGTCTCCTTGCTAGTGCTAAGCTCCCAGAAGTTGTTTTCCGTTTGGGAATGTAACTCTTCCACAGCCGATCAAACTCACTGATGAAGTATGTACAAGACAAATCTTTCCTCTTATGTGCCTTTTGGGTAGGGAAATGAAGACCAGATAAAATAATTTCTCTCCTTCTCTATACAAAAATGCTCTCATTTGACTACAAGTTTCACTTTATATGTTGATATAGGTGAGTTTTGTAATTTTCCACAAATCGCTTTTGTACTTTGTTTACCTGAGAGTCAGATAGTTTCATAGCCAGGTAAATGGACCTAAGCTAGACCAAAATAAATTTATAACCTAATTTCTAATAATTATGAAATACATTTTTAATACATTTCTATTTTGCACAACAGGTTTGTGATCCTCTTCTTAAACATGCTACTTAGCACAAGATGCAGTGGAGGAAATGATTTCTATGAAGGGATTTGAGATCTGATTAATAAAACCACCCAGGGAATTAAAAAGGCCAGTGTATGGCAAAACAGGCACTGTATCTGCATTCTTGAAGGAAAAATATATACTTGTTAAAGTTTATAGGATTTTGCTCTGAAGAAAAACTTCAGGAGAAGACCTTTCTCCTTACGGCCTACATCAGTTTTGTGCAGAGTCATCAGTGTACAGATACACACACATCTATTTATATGCAGACATATATATATATACATCTATACCAGCAGACAATGGCAACTTTCACCCACTTTGTGTAGGTAGTTTAAAGCTGAATAACAAGGACAATCCAAATACAGAACTCCTATCCTTAGGAAATAAGTAGCCCAGGAACTTTATTATGGGGGAAAAATAATAAATCTGATAGATCCGTTATAAATACAGTCATATATGTGGGTCTTCCTAACCTAACTTTGGTTACTGATAAACAGGCATAACCTTGTATTTGAAACACCACTAGGCAGACCTATTTCTCCCGTCAGGCTACACCAAGATCTCCCACACTCTCGTGTATAGAAGAGATACATCATTAATCAGTACTGGTATCAAAGTGAGAAATAGGATGTTGATTCTTATGCAACAACAGTTTCCCACTAGCATGAGTTTTTTTAATTACATGATGACTGAACCAAACCCAGTTCTGAACTTGACTCACTCTGACTCAGTTAAGTTACCTGTTGCTATTTCCAAAGAACTTGAATACTCACCGACCTTACCGGGAAGTTCTAAGTTCCAGTTATGTAGAGTAAAATTTTCTTGTTGTGCAAAAAGTCCTACCGACTTCTGTGGCCTCTGTTTTTGATTAAGGTAATGCTTGAAAAGATAAATCCTAATTTTTATTTTTAAATTTTTTTTTGTAGTGACAGTATTTGAGGCATTATGACTATTAAAATGTTAGGGATGAGCGCCTAACTGCTCATCTATGGATTGTCAATAGAGGCAAATAGTGGATTTTTTACCCAATTACTGGTTTTTGTTCTGCACACTTTAAATTTGTTAATTTTCACAGCTTTCAGCTATGCATATGAAACAAATAAACCTTGAGCCTTTCATGAATAATGTAATTAAAATGTAATGTAATGTAAAACTTGCTTAGTGCTTTGTGGAACATAGACATCCCTTCCACTCAAAAACACAAATTGCAATATGCTGACCCTAAAAAGATTGATCCAGCAAGAAAATTACCTTTTTGTGGCCCTAAACAAAACCCACAATTTTTGAACTTGGTATGTGACTTTTGGCTAAGCAGTTGTTTATTCATCCCTCTCAAGACGAGTAGCAGCAGTTGCCTCTCTTAGAGAAGGGAGGTGCTGTCCCTGCAAACCTGCACACACCAAGGGATGTGAGGCATAGCTCTGGTGGGTGGTACTGAGTCTGGTAACAGACACACTGTGATGCATCAGCCAGGGGACAAAAACAGCAATGTGGTGTGAAGAGATAACCTGGTTCAAACTCAAACTTAACTCTCAACTGTTCTCTCTGTATCAGCAGGTATTTGTGTTACATCATCTATTGCCTTTCACCCTCATGCTAGTTAAAAACTTGAACGTCATCCTTGTTGTCCACTTTGGTCAGTTTCTCAGGCATAAGACCATCTATATGTCCAAAAAACAGGTCCTGGCAGGTCACAGGTTTGGAATGAAAAATTAAGGCCTAAGAGGCAGGGTCAACCAGACTGTGTTTAGAAAAGAATTGTAATGCACTGTTAAGCTAGAGTACTGCCAATATAGCTAATGAAATGATGCTAAGATTTTTCAAATATCCAAATACTCTTTCTTTTTTCTGGAAAGAATAATTTATTCCCACAGACTTTCTGTTATAGAGAGTCATCTGCCCTCCTGTTGCTGATCAGCTGCCACAAGAGAAAGCTGAAGATGGCAAACACTGTGTAGCTTCTTCTGCCATTTTGGCAGGATGTGGCTGTGGGTTTAGACAAAAGACTCTTTTGTCTTTCCTCTGGGGTGGTGGGTGGGAGCATATTGCTGTGCCTAGGACTGTGAAACCGAGATCATGGTCCATACTAAGCTCTGTGTTGTCAGGCAAATTGGCTTGAGAGCCCTTTGAGAACCTGGAGTGCAAGAGTTCAAAGGAAGAAAACAAAACAGGGAATCAGCAAACAATTGGTCTGAATCATCTCCTCAAATCAATTTTCTTTTACCATTGGAAAATGGTAATAAAAGAGAACCCATGCACTTCTGGAGAGCTGGCAGCCAGGTCCTTGGCAGAGCAATGAATGCCATGCAAGGCTGCAAGCAGAGAAAAGGAATGGACATCTTTGCTAATAATTGGTACTGGTTAAAAACTCATAAACTGACTTACAGAGGATCTGAAGGCATTCAAAGGAGAAGTGTCATTTTTTAATATGGCACTGCTAGAAAATGCACAGAGTTGCTTGGGTTTTTAATTTTTTTTTTTTTTGGCAATGAGTGTTCTTTTTAAACAAAAACCACCTTATTCTATATACAGAACTTCTAATTGCATCATGCCATTGGACTACTAGGTAATCTCATCTCAAATAAAGATCAGATTATGGTGATGTAATCATGAGAAAGATCAACTCAAAAGCAGCTGTAATGTGGGTTTGCAAAGAGTAGCACAGGTAAGCAATGTGGCTAGGATCCTTTTGAGAAACAGGAGACATGCTGCCTTCCCCTGTCAGCCCCATTTCCTTCGTCCAGAGGAGGCTGTAAAGCAGCTGGTGTTGGGGGACATCATGTAGTAAAAGCACAGAAAGTCACTGCAATGTTGTCTTGCTTAAAAAAAAAAAAATAGATTTGTCACTTTGAAAATGACCAAAAATACTAAGTATTGATAATCGATTTGTTGGATTGGCAATCTGCTAGCAACCCTCTCTGCATGCCTTCTTCACAAAATATGGTGCTCATCTGACCCAAATCAGGCAGAGGGACTGGCCCAAGACCTGTGACAGAGAAGGATGACAGCAGATGAGTGTTCCAAACACCAAGGGCGAGACCTATCCTGCCTGCAACCTAGGGAAGCATCTGTGTAGTTAAAACAAGTGCTGTTACATTAACCCATGTGAAACCATTAGCAGGGTCCATCTGTTTACTCAGGCCTCTGCGAGGGGGGAGAGCTGCTGTTTTACCTTTTAAAAGCATGAATGGCAACATGATTCAATAGGGAATCAGGAAACTTTTGGTTGTTACACAATATTAAAGCTGTGAGGAACTGCACTTTAATCTTTCAGATAGGCAGAGAAGTTAACTGACAGCTGTTCTATTTCAGAAACTAGAAAGCAAATACAGAAATCAGCTAAAACGAGTTAACCTTATAATAAAGAACTAAAAATAAACCTTCAATCGGCATGTAACAAAAAAAGAGAACAAATTATACTTTTTAGGTATACATGCACACCCCCTTTCTTTTAAACTACTGGTTCCCCAAACTAGAACTAGATCTAAAACTCCTCCTGATTCCAATAGGGGTCTGAGGCAGTGTGTGCCAGAAGGCAGCTGTTTGTGGTGCGGTGGGAAAGCTGGGCACTGCACAGCTGGGTGCTGCACAGCCCTGCACGGGACTGACGGCCCCTGTCCCAAAGAGCTTACATTTCAGCTCCATGACTGAGGATAACAGATGGGTCGAGATGGGAGATGATGAGAACAGTGGGATACTGGACAGTCTCAAATCCCAGCTGCTTGCCCACTCTGTAATATTGCCAAGTTAAAATTTCACGGTCTTATTGTCACAGCAGTGTTTACGCTGCTTCTTCCTCATTGAGGAAGAGGAGCAGTGGGACACTTGTGCACGCTACAAAAGGGCTTCAGGCTGCAATTTGCTGCTGAACCAGATAGTATTGTGATAGACACAATAAAAACTCCTGTTTTCTTCATGTTTCCTTGCGGCACGGAAAGGTGTTTGCAAGGCCGATTTATGTGCTCAGTGCTAGGGAATGGCAGATGCCGGTATGCTGGGCACACAGTTCTGGAGGTCAGCCCTTCAACCTCTGAGAAGAGACTGACATTCAGTAAGGACTTCCATGGGCTTCGGAAGGTGGCCAGGACATAAGCGACAAATTTCCCACGAGGAATGCGAGTCTGAGGTGCAGCTGATGGCTTAATGCAGCCCCCAAGACAAGTGAGCAAAATACAAGTAAACTCTTCTGGCGAAACAGCCTCCACACCCAAGGACGCTTTTAGGCGCGGGATTCAGAAACAAAAACCCCAAATGCAAATTCGGGGACAAGCGTGGTTCAAGGCACTCTGCTGCTAAAACTGCCCCAAGGCCGTGACTCAGTCTGAGCCACCACCGAAGCAGGGCGCAGCGCCTGGCCGCCGCTCCCCACCATGGCCCGCCCGCCGCTCCCGGGGAACCATGCCGGGCGACTCCCGAATCGCTCTCTCTCCGGATCTGTCGGAGCGGGAACCCCTGGAAGTTTTTTCTCGGCACTTTCCCAAGCACGAGGCCCGGGCGGGACGCGGCACCTGGGGGCGGAGCGGCAGCGGGGCGGGCCCGGCCGCGGCCGGCGGGAGGAGTCGGGCCGGGGAGGGGGCGGCCCCGAGCGGCGCTGCCGGGATGGGAGCGTGAGAGGGGGCGAGTCCGCGGCCGGAGGAGCTGCGGTCTGAGCGGGGGCTGGTGCCGGCGGGCTCGGACCCGCCATGGAGCCGGTGACCAAGTGGAGCCCGAAGCAAGTGGTGGACTGGACTAAGGGTAAGAGGGAGCCGGCCCTGCCGTCTGGGCGCCGGGGGAACTTTCCGGCGGCGCGCTGGGGGTGCTCCGCTGCCGCCGCGGCTCCTCTGCCCGGCGGGGCGGCGGCGTGGGCGGCGGGGGAGCGCGGCCTCTGCCAGCGCCGGCCCTGGCCGAGCCCCGGGACTGCCCGGCGTGGTGCTCGGGAGCTGGCGGCTTCCCGCGCCCTCCTGCCGGCGCTCCTCCGCGCCTGCTGGAGCCTGCTTCGCCTTGCGGGATTTTCGGTGTTGTATTGGTTTTTTCTTTTTCTGACACTGGGGAAGAGAAAGTTTTGCAGCGAGACTGGATAACTTCAGGTCCGTGTGTGTGTGTATATATATATATATTTATATATCTGCATATGTATGTATCTGCCGTGGGGTCTCTACCCATGGCTCGGTCCCTTCTCCCTGTGTTCGTCCTGGCCAGCCCGCTTGCGTGGAGCGGGGGTTTGCCGCGCTCCTTCAGGCAGGTAGGAGGATCGTGAATCAGAATAGTTCAGGTTGGAAAAGTCCTGCGAAAGTTAACTTTCAGCTTCTCAAGCGAAAGCCGCTGACAGTTCGAAAAAACCTAAAGTTTGTAAGTTAAGCAAGAAGTTTTTTAACTAGCTCAACTAAGCAAGAACTCTTTATCCTGTTCAGCGGTGATGGGACTGAAGAGAGTCCCATCTCGGAGAGGTGAATAGCGGCCCCTTCGTCCGCCGGTCTGTCCGTCCATCCCTCCCACCCCTCATCTCTCGGGTGCGTGCTTGTGTCTCTCCCTCTCCCGCTAGCAAAAACGTCCTTCTCTCCTTCGAGGTTTGTTGGCAGTGCTGACAGAGCAGGGAAAGCCTCGGCGAGGCTGCAATGTGCAGCCCGCCCAGCTCCGGGGGACTCCGGGGGGCGGGATGGCTGCGGGCGCCCCGCTCCTGCCCGGGCATTTCGGCAGCGCTTGGTGTTACCGGGGCTTCCTCCGAGGGCAGGTTCAACCCCGTGCTGTCATACTGCGCTTGGACCCTGCGAGCGCTTTCCGAATGCCGGCCGGGGTGTCGCAGTTCCCGCTCTACAGGGAATGAATCAAAGGGAAGTGGAGCTATGGGTTAGGTGAGGGATTTATGGCTTCTGGAGCGCACGTCTCTTTTTTTTTTTTTTTTTTTTTTTTTTTTTTTTTTTCTTGCGGCATTAGGTTTTAGTGTGATCCTCTTTGGTTACATAAAGTATTTTCGCAGGCTTAGCTGGAGTTTAATTTGCTGAGGAGTTGGGAATGTTGTGAGGGGTGCAGGTTTGCCCGCGCTGGGAGCGGCGCTCTCTCCCTCCCTGACTCGGAGCAGCCATTTCTGCCCGCCGTGCCTCGCTCGGCACCGGCGGCCTGCGGTCAGCGCTTGGCGGCAGCGCGGCCCCACACTCGCTCCGGTAGGTTTGGAAAGCAGACCCGTGTTCTCAGACAGCCAGAGATGGATACTCCCAGCCCTCCTGAGCGTGAACATGTGCCTGAAGGCGCCGGTGCCAGTGAGAGACTGTCCAAGCAGCCTTTGTGAGGAGAGGATTCCACGCAAACGTGCTGTGAAGTTATGCGTTAACATATAAATAACTTCCCCAGAAAGATCTCTCTTTTTTTAATGCTTGGAATTGGTTTAAAAGGAGTGCATTGTTCCAATGAAATAAGCCTTTTGCTTTGGCATGTGGGATATTTATATAAAGCTTTTCCCTCATTGTGTTTTTTCTCTTGGGTGCTGAAAGTTTGTTGCGTTGCCAGATTAAAGAGTAAACCTGCTAATCATTTAAAAAGCCTTTATTATTCTTAAGCATGCTTGGCTTCCTTTCTTGCATAATTTATTTCACTTGCAGGTTCCTTGGACAGGTAACTCTTCAGCTGGACCCTCAATTAGTGCTATGCAGAGTAATTTGAGGGCTGGCTGTAGTTGGGGGGTGGATCTTCTGACTAATGCAAACACGTGTGCTTTGAAATGTAAAGGAATAAATGAAAGACTCCTGGTGACTTTTGTTTGTGCTGTTGTTTTTCAGTTTCTAGGTAAGCGTTGGACTTGTTTAGTACACAGAGTCATTTTATGTCACTCCCTTCGTGACAAGACTGTAATAAAGAAATGACATGTGGAAAATTCTTCTTTATGGTTATACTTTCATCTCTGAACATGAAAACAGAGGCTTTAATAGCTAGCTAACAGCCTTGTTAGCACAATGTCTCATAGTTTATTTTCAACCTGAAGTAGTTATTTACTGTGTAGTTCACAACCACTGGGTTTCATGTTTGACCAAGACCAATTTAATTTTACTTTATGAATATTTCATTTAATTCTCAAGGTTAGTTTTATGAACAAGTGTTCGGAGGGGAGCTTAAGCTCTTTGTTGTCTTGCACGTGCCTTCTGTGAGAAGTGATGCCACGATCTGGTTGAGCTCTGGGCAAAATTAATTGGCTAGTGATATCTGCTGCCAGTAGTCAGTGCTGTGGTGCTGTGGAGATGTATTTTAGGAGCATGATGTAAAAAACTGCTGGGAGATGCCAGCTCTCAGTGGGGAGATTGGTTTTGCAGATAATGATTCTTACTTATCATACAATGATAAAAAATACCTTTGCAAAATGTAGAGAATGGTGGAAATAAGTGGTCTGACTCAGTCCATATTAATGTTCAATGTGAAACTGAGCCCCTTCTCACTCTCCCCCCATCAAACTTTGATAAATTAAATATTTTTTATAACTTTCCCAGACCAAAATGAATCATGGAAACTTACTCTTTTCCATGAAACAAATCCCTGAAAAGCAAAATCCCAAAGTATGACCACTGCTGGACAGTTTATTTGCTCCTGGTCAGCTTACTTTTTTGTTTTGTTTTGTTTTGTTGTTTTGTTACTCTTAAATAACTTTTTAAACAAGGTAACTCTTGTTCTGAAGAGTTTTGCTCTGAGATTAAGATGTTCAGTCCTTGGAAAATACTGTAAGAAGCATTTATCCAGCATTTGAAATGGAACCTATCAAGAAGTAGTAAGCTAAACATAAATATTTTTAGATATTTGTAGTCAGGTTTAAAATAAAAAGAGCTCTGTTCATTGTTACCAACAACAGCTGATACAAAACACAGTTGCTTGTCTTCTCTTGCTAATTCAGACTAGAATGCTGCTATTTTTTGTGAACAAGGGTGTTTGTTCTGGCACAGGGCGCTGTACTGGCAATAGCAGGCTATGCAGCTAATAAGAGCTGGTCTAGTTAAACTGAAACTGCAGAGGAAGACTTCTGCTTTTATTACCAACAATTTTCTGTGTACATGAAGCATTTTTCAAGCAAGGATGTGATAACTTTTTAGCTACAGCATCAATGTTTGAAAAGAATCTGATTTGTTTTCTATAAGCACCACCTCAATTTCTGTCTGACAGAAGTGATGGTGTAGTTAAAGGTTTCTCTTACAGCACTATGAATTCAGATAGTATTTAGGGGCCGTATTCAGCCATGAAAAGGCATGCATTTTCCTAGGATGCTGTGTTGATTTACTTGTGCCTGGGCTGGCGTGGAGTTTGTGCTCTTTGAACAATATTGTCTGCACTGTTTCCTAACTCTGCTGAGAAGATGTGTTTGGAGTTTGTTTCTCTGGGTTGTTTTGAGTTGATCCTTGTTGTGGTACAGACTAACACCTGGGTAGTGTTGTAGTTGACCTGTGATCTTGCTTTTGTGCAGTGTAAGATGCTTGGGGGCTCAAAGTCCTCACCTGTGTATCACAGCACTCTCTTTTGTGCCTGAATTTCTTGAGAGTTCCTCAAGAGGTATTCCTAGAGTTGTTCAGCTTCTTGCAGGGCAGGTGAGTGGCCACAGAAGTTGCAGCACATTTGCAGTACACTGTATAAAAGTGACTTAATTTTACTGGCATAATGACAATTGATGGTATGGTGGAACTTTTTCTGGTCTCAGAAGTCCCTGGCTACTGGAAACCCCTCAGTTGAGGTCATTCCTCAAAAGATGTGAGGAAGAGGAGGAGGAAAGCAGCATTTGCCACAGAGCTCCTCCTGTGTGAGAAATGTCACTGTTGTCTTAGGGACATGGCTGTGCCTCCTCTTTGTTTGCTGTAGCCTGATCTGTCTCTTCCCCCTTTCCCCAGGCTTCACATGCTTGTGTGAGTTGTGACTTCAAGCCAAATTTTACACGGTAAAGACAAGTTTGACATGCTTGTGGTTGGAAGCCTCTGTTGTTGTGGGGCTCCATTGCAGCCTAGCCTTTGTCACTGGAGCTGTAGACTCGGCTGGCTGGGGATCACATCTGCTTGGGGCTCATTATTGCACTCCAGGTTCAGTTATTCCCTTTCTCAGGAGTTCATGGACATTACTTATTCCTGCATATGTCATGAAATACTCAGATTTCCATTCCTGGTAAAGCTGTTGAGCAGCTACATTTATAGGTATGTCTGGGAGAAGAGGGAGAAATATGCTAATTTATTAATAGGTAGCAATTAATTGTGAGGGCCTGGTGTTCTTTTTTTAGAGCCATCTTCCTTACCCAGGGAGATTTCCACAAGGTCAGTCCTGTTAACTGTGTGTTCTGGGAGCTGGAAAAGACAGCTGGGTTTTAGAACAAGTTATGGGTGATGCCTGGAGTTATTTTTTAGCTTTTCTTTTTAGGCATTCTCAAGTGAATGTCGTTGTGTTCAAGTTATTTGGGAAGATCTAACACTAAGAAACCCCTGGTATTTTGCTTTCAGTGAGGAATAGCAGGGAGAGCTGCCCATGCCTGGGATACAGAACAAGCTCTTTGCTCTTTTCTTACCTTTTCTTGGTTACCTAAAAAATAATCTGTATGAGCATTTGTTAATTAGATCAGAGAATGGTGTTGCATAACTACTCTTTGCACATCCAAGCTTGCCCATAATGTTTTACTAGGAAAAGGTGAAATATACTAAATGCATCTATTTATATTTATTTGTGGGCTGAAACAAAGTAAAAACTAGCACAACGAGTTTGTACTACTGCAGTCTTAAAGTTATTCATGCATTGTTGCTAAGATG